TCTGAAGTCCATGGAAATCTGCTCCCATTTCCACTCAGGAATTTCAGGTTGTTGGAGTAGTCCTGAGGGTTTCTGGTGTTCTATTTTGATCTTGGCGCAAGTCAAACACTTGCTCACATATGTAGTGATCTCTGCTTTCATGTTTGGCCACCAGTAGAGTTGTTTGAGATCTTGATACATCTTGTCTGACCCGGGTGTACGGAGTATGGAGTCTTGTGTGCCTCGCTCATAACTACCTCTCTAAGTACACCAAACTTGGGCGTCCATATTCAGTTCATGAGGTAGCGTGCTCCGTCACTCTTGATTTCTAAATTCTTGTCCATTCCCCTAAGGGTCTCACCTGTCACGTTTTCGGGTTTCAGGGCCTCTATTTGAGCTTCCTTGACTTGTGTCGACAAGTGCGAATGGATTGACATGGCTAATGACTTCACTCTTCGGCCAGAGTACTCCTTACGACTAAGGGCATCTGCCACGACGTTAGCTTTCCTGGATGATAGCGAATCTCACATTCGTAGTCGTTGAGCAATTCGACCCAACGTCGCTATCTCATGTTCAACTCCTTCTGGTCGAAGATGTGTTGTAGGCTCTTGTGGTCTGTAAAGATAGTGCATTTGGTACCATATAGGTAGTGTCTCCAGATTTTAAGAGCGAAGACCACCGCCCCAAGTTCTAAATCATGAGTGGTGTAATTGACCTCATGCGTTTTTAGTTGTCGTGAGGCATATGCAATAACCTTTCCCCTCTGCATTAGTACACAGCCCAGCCCTTGCTTCGAAGCGTCGCAATACACCACAAAATCTTCGGTCCCTTCTGGGAGAGAAAGGATGGGCGCACTGTAAAGGGCCTGTTTCAAAGTCTGAAATGCAGCATCTTGCTTTTCTCCCCAATTGTAGGTCACACCTTTCTGGGTTAAGGCGGTAAGAGGCTTTGCAATGCTGGAGAAATTCTGGATGAACCTTCGGTAATAACCAGCAAGACCTAGAAATTGGCGAATTTCTGTTGGTGTAGTTGGCGCAGACCAGTTTTTGATAGCCTTGATTTTTGATGGATCCACGTGGATTCCTTCCTTGCTGACCACGTGACCGAGGAAGTCCACCTTTCTAATCCAAAATTCACATTTTGAGAATTTTGCATACAGTCTCTTAGTCTGTAACGTCTCTAAAACATGCCTCAGATGTTGACCATGCTCTTCTTTATTCTTTGAATAAATGAGTATGTCGTCTATGAATACTATCACGAATTTATCCAAGAATGGACGACATACCCGATTCATTAGATCCATGAATACGGCCGGGGCATTGGTTAGTCCGAACGGCATCACTACGATCTCGTAATGTCCGTATCATGTTCGGAAGGCCGTCTTGGGAATATCACTCTCCAGGACTCGCAGCTGGTGATATCCCGACCTCAGATTGATCTTGGAGAAGTAGTTGGCTCCTTGGAGTTGGTCGAATAAGTCATCGATTCGGGGTAGGGGGTATCGGTTCTTGATGGTAAGTTTGTTGAGTTCTCGGTAGTCGATGCACATTCTGAATGATCCATCCTTCTTTTTCACGAACAGTACGGGTGCTCCCCATGGCGAGAAGCTCGGCCTGATGAATCCTTTTCCAAGTAGTTCATTCAGTTGGCTGGATAGCTCTTGCATCTCTGCCGGGGCTAATCGATAGGGTGCTTTGGCTACTGGGGTAGCTCCGGGAACCAGATCGATTCTGAACTCAACTTGTCTCGCGGGTGGTATTCCCGGAAGGTCCTCGGGAAAAACGTCGGGAAAATCGCGTACGTCGGGCACACTCTTGATGTCTTGGACTTCGCGTTTCACATCTACAACATGTGCCAAGAACGCATGACACTCCTTGCGTAGGCATTTCCGAGCTTGGATACTTGAGATGATACGAAGAGTGGTACTGGGTTTGTCGCCCAAGACAATGAAAGTTTCTCCGGTTGGTAGATTAAGGCGAACGGCCTTATCGTAACATAGAATGTCCGCATGATGAGAACTCAGCCAATCCATGCCAACGATGACATCAAAATTCTTAATCGAGACTGGCATGAGGTTGATTGAAAAGGGATTATCGTTTAAAGTTAGGGTGCAGTTTAAGTATATCTCCTTAGTGCCTTCGGTTTTCCCGTTGGCCATTTCTACTATGAATGGTTCACTTAATGATTGTGGTATTGATTTTAGCAGGCCTTTAAAGTCGTGACTCACAAAACTCCTTTCCGCTCCACTATCAAACAAAATGCATGCATACGAGTTATCGAGAAGAAACGTACCCGTAACAACAGTAGGGTCCGCAATGGCTTCATCTTGTCCCATTGCGAAAACTCGGCCCCTTCCGCCGATATTCCGGTTGTTTGCCTTTGGGTAGTCCCTGCGGTAGTGCCCCGTGTCTCCGCACTCAAAGCAGGCGCGGCTTACCCCGGTATTAGTAGTGGGGACGGATGGTTGGGTTGGCTCTTCGCAATAGCGGGCTGTATGTCCCTTCTTATTACACTTGGTGCATTGAAGATCATGGCAAGGACCGTGGTGGTGGAAGCTGCATCGGTTGCACTTAGGAAGTTTCCCATTATATGAGCTTGTGGGGGCAGGGTTCATAGGTACAGTCATAGCGTGGGTCACTATTACTTGTTGTTTCTTGGGGTTTTCCTGGAGAGTTTGTCCCCTCCTTTTGTTCCAAGGCCTACTCTGGCCCTGAGCCTCCCTAGGTGGATTTGCGGTTGTTAAAATGATACTGGGTTTTACTCCATGGTCGATGAGTCGTTGAGCCAGGCGTTTAGCACTGTTATAGGTAACAGGGCCGGAAGCTAGGACATGCCCTTGAATCTGGGGTGACAACCCCCAAATGTACCTTTCAACCTTCTTTGATTCTGGGTTGACCATGGTAGGGCACACTACAGCGACGTCGTTGAACCTAGCTGTGTAGGTGACTAGGTTAGACCCAGTCATTTTCAAATTCCAGAGCTCCTACTCAAGCTTTTGTACTTCGCCCCTTGGGCAGTATTCTTCCAATAGTAGAACCTTTAGATCGTCCTAACTCATGGCGTTGGCGACAGTGATCGTCACTGAATTCACATGGCTTTTCCACCAAGTGAGGGCTCGATCTACGAAACTGCAAGCAGCGAACTTGAATTTGCTTGCTTCTAGGCATGAGCAGATCTCGAAGACCGTTTTGGTCTTCTCGAACCATTGCATTAGTGCAATGACTCCCCCAGTTCCATTAAAAGTTTATTTGCGAGAGGGCTGCAGTTACTGCTGCTATGATAGCAGCCTGGACCATGGCTGGATCATAAGCTGGTGGTGGAGGTGGTGGTGGTGCCGTGCCCGGCCTGGGCCTTAGGTTTGGACGAGGAGGCATCGTGCTGCCAAAAGAAAAAAAAATGGAAAAATTTATAAATTTTGGCAGTTCAGAGTTGAATGATATTGAGTTAACTTCTAATAGTTCTAAGAAGTTGGGTTTGACCGACACAATGTTTTGAGCTTGAAAGTAAAGTTTGAATAGATGTACCAATGAATTGAACGAATTGCGCATGATTAACAACAACAAGAAAAGGGGTATACCCTTATATATATTAAACATATAGTTGTGTTACAGCGGGGTCTAGACAAAAGTTCTTGGCGTTTCTAAAGGCCTCCGATTACAGAACAATTTAAAGAAAATAATACTTTTATCCGAAGTCCTATTTTATAACAAAATTTGAGAGTCGGGCAAATACTACTTGCGGCGCGCTTTGCGTTTGGAGCTCGACTCCGTGTCGGACTGCTTCGACTCCATGAGGCGTCTATCAAACGCAGCTTGTTGTTCTCTTAATTCTGCGAAGGCCGCATTTGCTTCACTACTAGAAAAACAACCTTTTACGACGCGCAAACTACGACACTCACTGATTTATGTTACGCAAAAGAGAGTGACAGTAAAAGAGTGTCATCTCTTCAAAAAATTTAAGGATTTAGGTGACGCATTATTGTGTGCCCTTAAAATTAGTGTCAGAACAAAAAAAATAAAAACACGGAGGGCACTCAGCATAAAAGGCGTGTCGTCTATGCATGTCGCTTTATAAAATTTTCATCAAATGCGCCTTCTCCATCTTTAATAGCTAAGGGGGGAAATCAAACCCCAAAAAATTAAAACCCCCGCCTTATTCTCATCTTCTACCAGCTAAAAACCCCTTCTCTTTTCCATGACCTAATTAATGAAACTCTGCAAATTCCATGGCCGCTTTAATACCTATAGATATGCTTTGAATCAGATCTAACCATATCTTTACCCAAAATTCTTCATATGTGGTCCGTCTTCATCTTTTTATCTTCACATATGGCCCATCTTCACGTAATAAATAAAGATACTAGGGCTTGAACCGGACCTCACATAATTCATAGCTCACAGCAACTTCCCACACTTACAAGAGATCGTAAAAAGGGTATGTTCAAACCCTTCCTGCATATCGTTCCTTCCTAATTATCGATCAACAGTCACAACCTCCAAAGTTCGTACCTTCCTTTTCCCTTTAATCAATCAGATGTCTTTTTCCCTCTTCAAACTTCGATCGACAAACCAGGTCACCTAAAATCACTGGTCATCTATTTCCTTTCTCGAAATCGATCGAACCTCCAAGAACTACAAGAACTACAGGTATTGATTTTTCCTTTTCTGCTTCGATTACACCCTCTTCTTCATTCTTGTTATTTCTTTTTTTTTCGAATTGAATGTGAGGTTGTGAGGTGGCGCTTCATGTTCGTAAATGGATGTTGAGGATATGATGTTTGGTGATTGTTCTGTGATGGAGAGGAATTCTATTTTTACGTAGATTTTGGTTGTGCACACCAACTGTTTGATGAATTGCCACCTTGATTCATTTATGTTATCTTCCTGGTTAGTGCCTCTTCTCAAAGCTTATTATTGCTTATCCTAAACAAACATCTTCCAGTTTTACAACTATCTTTTATATCTTTATGCAGTTGATCCGGTCCTGATTTCGTTTATGGTTTCATCTCCAATGAATGATAAATGCTTGGTGTTGTTCAAGGCTGGAAGTGCCCACCACAAATGGTTGACTTCATCTCAAGTTTAGGGTGGGGTGCAAACAACGAATCTTTTGGTAAAGTTGATTATGGTAAAGTTGATTTCACAAGCTCCAAATATACTATACTTTGTTATATGCTTCCGATCATGGTTAAACTTATGGATGCAAGTTTTTTTCATATTACATATTTATGGAGGATATATTGGATAGCCATGTAAGCTCAATTCTATCACAGGTAAATTAAACGGAAGATATATTGGCATGTTTTATAACATTAGGATATAACAACATCATTTGGTATTTTCATAAGAATTGACTAGTAATAATTCTTTTCTTTTTCACTTCTCATTTTAATTAAATGTATTTATCTTGTTCAACCTCGATACCAGGAGATGGTATTGTATTGATTGTAGTTTAATTTCAAGTTTTGTTTCTTTCAGAGTCTCCATTGGTTTTTTCAGACTCTCTTGCTGAGTTCTTTGCGGAGAATAAGAACATTGCTGGGTTTCACAACGAAAGTTGTATTGTGTAATCTAGTATATGTTTTGTTTGTTTTGTTATGAATGATTCAACATAACTTTACATGATGTGATCTATTACCACATAATATAAAACATCAAAGGTAATTAGTTGGCCTTATGGTTGTTATGTATTTAACATTTTATAATTATATGTTGTATTTGAGTTTCAGCCTGGAAAATCGCTTTACAATACCGTGAGAGAACTTGTTGAAAATGCACTTGATTCTATAGAATCCATTGGGGAGCTTCCATTGGTCGAAATAACAATGTAAGTGTTAATAATAGTATAGGGTTACTTTTTTTGTGTTTTACCTGGATTTGTGAAGTTATATTCAATTTTTTTGGGATTTGGACATATTTACCCTTTTGACTAGTTTTTGTCCCAGTTTTGTGGTCTGGAATATTTGGGATGTTTTGTGTTGTATTTTTCTATGGATCTTTGGTTCCAATTCTTTTTTCTTTCTTGAGTTGGACTAGTTGTTTTGGTATAGAGGGTATAGTTATATTTTTTGGACAATTATATGCTTTTCGGGGTTGTTTCTTAGCAACAATGCAAGTTATTTTCTGTTTATTTTTTAGTTTAGTGGAATTTTGTTTTTGGGATCTATCTTTTGGAACAAACAGGGATTTCCCAAAAATGTAATCTTGAATCTTTAGGATTCACATTGGAGCCTACTTTACCTAAGCCTTCTTCTCCATCTCCATCTTCATTACCTATACAGAAAGAAACTCCATTGTTGATACCTCTTAGTCCTGTGTTGGAGAAGAATGAAGTAGAACACGTGAATGCAATAAGTGAAGAAGAAGAAGGAAAACAAGTGGCAGATTCAATTAAAATATATCAACTTTCACAAAGAAGAACCAGGAGACCTTTTTTAGTGTCTGAAGTACAAGCGCTTGTGGAAGCTGTTGAGACCCTGCTTGGAGCTGGAACGTCTATGTTTTTTTTTACATTAAAAAAATGAAAAATTTATTTATTATTATTATTATTCTCAATTCTAATATTTTTTGTAAAAAATTTGCAGATGGCGTGATGTTAAAATGCGTGCTTTTGATGATGCAAACCATCAAACTTACGTGGACTTGAAGGTAAGAAATATAATTTTAGTACGATAAATTAAAATATACTAAGTTGGATAAAAGAATAATATAAGAAGCATGATAAGCCAAAACTGAGCAAGATACATTAGCGTTATTTTATAATTGATGAAGGGCATCATATAAAAAATGCTTCTTGCAAGTTAAATGCTGAGTTGAAGCATTATAATAGCTCTCACAGATTGCTTTTGACTGGAACTCCTTTGCAAGCCATACAAGGATATATATATATATATATATATATATATATATATATATATATATATATATATATATATATATATATATATATATATATATGCTGAGTAGAAGCATTATAATAGCTCTCACTTCATCTTGTTTGACTGTTTGTTTACAGAGAAAGTCAAGATAGAAAGATGCCGGTATATATGGATATTCCTTTCAAATAATCTTCCAGGCATGTGGTTTTTTTTAAATAGCTTTAATTTGTGTTATTCCATTAACACCCTTCCTCTCCTTCTCTCTTAAAGAATATAAGTTTAAAATCAAAAGAAACTAGAACAAAGTATAATCTTCAATGGCAGAGAACACTTATTTAATGATTTATACTATGAAATACATATCACAACAGGAGTTTTGCAATAGAAATTGTTCAGAGTTGTCAAACAACCCTAGGGTTCTAGCATGCATCTAACAACTGGGCGAGACAGGACACTTTATGTCTACCTTCACCTCCTCAAATCTCTTCATTCATCATTTGTATTTTGTTTTAGGGCTTCTTTGTTCTCTTCATTTTTTTGTTTTTTCGAAAGTAATCTGATTTTAATTAATACGAAACCCTCCATGGATTCTTGAAGAAGCTACTATGTAAGTTCTATCGCCTTACTGCACTCCAAGTGTTTGTTATAATATTATAATGGATTTTTTTCCAAGCAGTTATCTATCTGAATCTCCCTAATTCTTCTTATAACTATTTTCATAAACAGGAGTTATTATAGAATAATATAAATGAAATAAACATAACATTTTCTCTCAGTCTACTTGTTTCTTTGAATTAGGGAAAATTGATTTGTTTATTTTCCACGTTTATCTTCTTTCATATTCTCTAATTTATAGGTTAATCATTGAATTTGATTATTTTCTTCTTGTGCGATTAAGCTTCTATTATGTATAGATTTTTAAAAGTTTCTCTGAATTTTTTGTTGGTACCTGGTGGTATCGAATCCAAGAATGGAGCTACTTTATTCTTAAAGTAAGTCATTCTCTCTCAGTCTACCGTAGCCCTACATGCATTTTTCTTTACTTTTAAACTAAGTCAATTTTGTTTGGTCGTTGCGTCTTCTTTACAATATGAGAAAAGTTTGGTTGTAACTCTTAAACACAGGAGCTACTTTATGCAGACCCTTTTGATGTGGAGGCACAAAAGAAAATGAGAAATAACAACATTAAAGCTATCATGGATCGAAGGTTGGGCATTTATTGCATTTGATTCTTCATTTCCACAAAGTGTTTGTTTTTAGGGCTATAACACAACTTCATAACTCATGATCAATCCGTATGCAGATGGTGTTTGAGCTAGCTTCTTTCTTTTGTTCCTGGGTAATTTCTTCGACTTAATCCCCTAACATATTTTCATCTCATAAGTTGGCATAATATATATTTATACATCAATTATGCACTTTTGTTATTTCTTTTGGTTCTTGAAACGAGACTCAAGATATCATATTTTGGCATGGCTAGAAGCTTTGGAGGAAATGAGACTCAAGCAAAAGAAAACACACAGAGAGTTGTTGGCACATAGTAAGCTAGATGATGCAATTGTATATAAATGAGTTCATTTTTTTATAACATTTACTCACTTTTGGAATAATTATATGTATTTGAAATATTAGTGAAATGAATTATCTTTTTTATTTATGGTACTTTATTTTGTATTGTGGGATTTTTAATGTATTATTAATTCGAAAATTAGTAAATCTAAAAATAATAATTTTTTTTAATCATTTAAAATTATGATACGCAAAAATGTGTGTCGTCTTCATTTATGACATGGCCTTTCTTGATAGGGGCTTTCTTGATACGCATTGTGTGTCATTAACACGCGCGTCGTAATGTTACGACACGCCAATGCGTGTCGTCTTCCTTTATGACAGGGCCTTCCTTGATACGCATTGCGTGTCGTAAATGTGCGTCATAATTGCGCGTCTTAAATGAGCGTCATAAATGCGCGTCGTCTCTCTTTATGACAGGGCCTTCCTTGACGCGCATTTGCGCGTCGTCTGAGCCTTTTACGACGCACAATGAGCGTCGTAAAAGGCTGTTTTTCTAGTAGTGCTTGTACTTGAAATGCTTCGGCACGAATGTGGATGTCGTTCTGCAATAACTCTAGGCGGTTAATATCGGCCGTGTGGATTTGTACTTCCACATTGACCTATCGGATTCGGTTGGCTTGCACTCCGGATTGATAGCACTGGTTGGCGAGTTTGCCAACCATGACCGGAAGTGCTCGGTCGGCTGATCCCCCGCCTCTCACATCATAGAAGTCTCGGCACATGCCGTAGGGAGGGCGTAAGCTTTGTTGTTGGCTCCAATGATGGAGGTGACTTCCCCACACTAGAGTGGGTCCTTAGAAATTCCTCATGTGGACGGGAGATTGTGGGATTGGTGGATTTATAATTTCTGGCTCCGAATCCGTGCCAGAGTCATCCCCTCCCTCCAACTCTATAGGCTCTTCATCTTCTTCAGGATCTTCTTCGATCCACCCTCCATTACCTTGGTTGGGGTAGTAGGGGTCATTGGGTGATGGAATCCCGCCATTTAGACTGTACGAGAATAGAGTTAAAAGTTTACTATAAGCTAGAGCACATGAAACTTACCCTTATGTTTAATGGTTGACGACACTCGAATACTCCCTCAGTATTCTTTAGCGATATGCTTTTGGTAAGTTTTAAATTTGTTGTCCATTGCAGACACTCCTTGGCATACGTTAGTCGGCTCTTGGACAAATATAGTTGATCAGGCTATATTCTTCCCAGTTCCAAGTACATGTCCCAAGGCGTACCTGTACTGCACAACTTATTTATAACACTTCTAAAGTTATTTACTATGAAACTGTTATTAGTATAAAATGAGTGCATGCTTACCTTAAAACTAATTAGATTTACTTTCAAAAGTATGAATTTTTCTCAGAGTTTTTTTGCCCAGTTGAGTTTATAGTTGTATATCAAAAAGGAATGGTTTTGATATACTTAATTCCCTATAAACGAAGCTCTGATACCAATCTGTCACACCCCCAAACCAGAACGGCGGAAACGTTCGGGGGCGGAGGACGTCATATTCAGTATCATAACAGTTCATAGAAAGGAAAGTACACACCACCATATATATTAAAGTTTCCAAGATGTTTACATAATTGTATTCATTACATGTTCAAAAGATAAATACATAAACATCATTCAAAAGAAGTAATTAACGCCAGCGCGTTAATCCCAAAAGTTGATTCCCAAACCTGCTTAGCGGTTCCCTGAGAATACAAGTTATTTCAAAGAAAAAGTGTCAACAATTAAGTTGGTGAGTTCATAAGTAGTTTAGAAAAATTGGATGCCATTCCAAAATGGGTGAATATTTTCCAGAAACGCAGCATTTCAAATGTAAAGAGTTGTGATTTGTTTTGTTGAAAGTGAATGTATTAAATCCAGAAAATCCCATATTTTCCCTAATGGTTGAGATACGAGTTGTTGTGTTTCCCAAGAAAAACCCTTATTTTCTTATAAAAGTATGAAATGCATATGAATGTTCGTGTTATAAGTTGTAAAGAATTGCACCAGGAAAATCCCTTATTTTCCTAACATAAATGGCAGTCTCTAAGACCAAAACTTTGCAAGAAACCGATGTTCAAAAGTTGTGTCATAGTTTTATATAATAAAGCTATACGAAGATCGCATTTATTAGATGAAGAATAGCTTTAATAGCTACTCGTTCATAAAAGCATAATACCATAATAATTGTATATCCGATGAGTTTTATAACCATACTAAACATAATATGCCTGTAACGACGTTCTTCAGGCGTCGCAGCGTTATGACAACTGTCACCCTAAAAGACGGACTGTAGCTAACAGTCAGGGCGCGGGATCATGATTTCCCGTATCGATCTATACACATTTGACACGTTCTCCGAACGGGAGACTCTGGTTATAGACAGGACTTGCAGCATTACTTTCTAATAAAGAAAAGTAACGTTTGAAGATATACACGTCTCATGGATTCTCAACTAAGCCTGTATTAAAGTGATAGTTTTGTGTGCAAAGTTTAACCTTTTTCACAATGTTTGACAAAGCAAAATCATAAGTTTTTAGAATGTATAAAACGACTTAACAATGAAAGGTACTTTGAAATCATTATATACTTTGTATAAGTCTAATGCACACAAAGTATGACAAGAGTTTTCCATAATAGAAATAAGTTCCAAGTGATTTATTCGATAAAACAAGTGAAGTGAAACTTTATAAAATACACAATAATAACCGTATGTTTACTTGTATCCCCCCCCTAAAAGAGTATAAAAGCATTTAAATGTATTTAAAGTGTGTTTGAAAGGGGTATGAACTCACTTGAAAGCTTGAAGATAGCAAGATGGAAAACCGGGCAGAGTTTCGTCTCGGGAAATGGATTTTCCTCGGAAATCTCGGGATTCCTCGGGAGTAAAATCGACCTTCGGGACTTGCACAAAATGACCAGGGCTTCGGGGTAGTGCGAGCACGGAAAACGAGGTGAAACGCAAGAAAAAGGAGAGAGAATGAGCCATTTTCCCAGGAACCCTCGCATGCTATTTATAGGGGGCCTGAGAAGCCTCGTACGCGAGGCATACGCTCGTACGCAGCGTGTACACGTACGTCATGCGTGATCGAAGCCTCGACTGCCTCGGCCTCAGATGGGACGGCTCAGGCTGTCGGGTCGGATGGGACGGCGGGTCGGACGGGCGGGTCGGATCCCTCGCATAGGGCGACGTGGACAGTTTGAGGCCAAGCTCCTCGGGTACGCAGAGCGTACAGGGGTACGCAGCGCGTACCTCGGATGAGGACGGTGACTCCTCTTCGGATAATACCGAAGTTTTAATAAAAATTATATATAAATTATTTATCAAACTTCGAAAATTCATATCTCCTTCATATGAACTCCGTTTTTGACGTTCTTTATATCCCCGCGAAGGTGAGACTACGATCTACAACTTTCATTTAGATTCCGTTGGCAAATTCCGGAATTATTTTTACTATTTATTTATTAAAATGACGTGATTAAGGAATTTCTTTAAAAATTCATAACTTATTCATACGATGTCCGATTTGAGCGTTCTTTTTATGCATGTTTGTAGTTTAACGATATCTACAACTTTTATTTAGACACCTAAGGTCGGAAAATGTTTTATTGAAACTTTGCGTTTTTACGCAACTTCGTATTGCCGGTTTTTGTCGGAAAACTTATAATGATCATAACTTCTTCGTTATAACTCGGATTTTTGTGTTATTTATATGTTTGGAAACCTTAAGACTATAACTACCACATAGTGTACTCCAAATAGAGTTTTTGAATACTTCATTTTTCGA